GTTAGCTCCTTGGTGAAGGCCCTAGCTCTGCATCCCTCTGCCTTCCAGACACCCTGCCATGCCAGCCCCCCAACTAGCAAAACTGCACATCCTGGGCTGCTTGCTCTTCCCTGTCTCTGTCCTCAGTCTCTGATCTGATCATGTCCAGATCTGAAGTGGAACAGAGCCAGTTACTCAGTCCCCTTTCTTCCTCTTGCTTTCCATGCCAGCCATCCTGGGCACAGGAGCAAGGTCATCAGGCAGTGCCTTCTGCCAACACTGGCCTTCCCTCCTGGGCAGGTAACGAGCCGTCTATCGCCTTCTGCTCCTGGATAAAACTTTGGCTCCTTCTCACTCTGAGAATCTGCCTTGGCACACAGGACCTCCCTCCACACACTTGCACAAGCCAAAGAGTGATAGATTAAATGTATCCTAGGCACGGTCTGCCCAAGTCAAGTGTGGGTCTTGAAAGCTCATCACACACCAGGAACAAAGGAGAGATTTTGGGTGTCTAGTGGGTGATAGGAGAGAGGGAGGGTGAAGTTCTTCTGGAATAAAGATTTGAAAGCTCACCCTTGGTGTAATGGCACTGTTGTATCTGTCTGTCACTCAATCGCTCCCTCCTTCTACTTGATAGCAGAAAATTACCCTGTGTCTGTGTACCTGTGGGTGTGTTCCCTCAAAACCCAAAGGTGAAATAAACTTAAACTCCTGTGGTTTGGACTTTTTTCAAAATGTGTGAAGAGAGAACCTAGTATAGCAACATTGTACATCTCTCATCGTTAGTGATCATGTTATCACATCAAAATGAAATCACACATGCTTCTAACACACCCTCACAGCTCCTAGAAACTTCTCAAGGTCCAACCTCTTGCCCAAAGGAGGACCATATCTTTTCAAGTATGGAGCCTGAGCTCAGGGCACACCACTCACATACACCTCAAAGAACTCCACCTGCGGTGTGACCCACAAGTAGCTCAGAATTGTATTTCTCTCAGAGCACTGAGCTACACCAAGACCTGAGGGACTCTTTTCTTGAATCAGGTGGGTTCATGTGTCTTTCACCCCCAAAGACAGATCCTTTTGGAAACAAAGGAATCGCAGTTCACTAAGTCACGAGAAATCCATTCCAGTTTCAGAAATTCAATTTAGCTTATGTAAGCTGCCAAGCCCCATTAAGAGATATATTATTCATAAATCTTTCCTTGGGATTGGAAACCTCCCAATTCTGTGTGTGCACAAGGAAATTTAACTCCCAGAGTCTCTCTGGGTGACCAATATCACGATATATATCAGGACAGCCAGAAAAATTATTGCCTTACAAAAAATCTGTTGGTTGTGTCCAAACAGGTAATTGGGAGTGAATAGATTCAGATGACTGTGTCTGTCTTTATAAACATGTTTTAACTTAATTTAGTCTTCGAGGGAGATAAAGAGATTGATCACTGGTGCTGTTAACTATTGTTTCACTCAAATAGAAAGTTACGTCAAGAAACAAGGAACCCTTGGACTGACAAAGCAAATAGCAAAGACATTCTTTCACAGAGCAATAAAAATCTTGAATCATCCAGGTCCTCAAAGGTGCATTTTATAAGTTAAAATAAATGATAACCCTAATATTTCACCGCAGATGATCACGTAAAGTCTAGAGTCATAAGACACAGCTGGATTTGTTGGGCTGTGACATTTTGGGAGAATGAGGAGGACTCCAGGGCCATTTAGATAGTATGTAGTGGATACAGGTCGTATTTCAGATCAATAAATACCATGATAACAACGACATGAGTTACAAGAAACCCAATTCCTAGCCAAAGACCCTGGCAAGATAATATTTAACACAACAAAATTCTGGCAGAGCACAATGGTCTGAAGTGTTAATGTAACTGGCTTGTGTGATTTATTATACAAATAATTTCAAAGTACCCATAAGTCACTCCCATAGTCTTCTCTGCCTTATATGTTAAACAGAGACCTCAACCAAAGTTTTGGAATAATAGCATGTTTACTTGAAGACAATGAATAGCATTTAGGAAGATTCGTTAAGTGACTATTATCCAAACCTCATGACATTTTAGTGATTTCTGTTCTCATGGGTCTTTCTCCTTCCACACAGGTGGGCAGTTTCATTTGATACAAATTGGAAATATATATTAACATAATAGATCTCTCTAAGTACCAATGGTGACAGAGTAAAATAATTTGAATTTCAATGGAATCTAATATTAACTTTAAACAGAAATTCCAAGATCCAGAAATTTAAGAATAAGATCAAGCAATCTTGATTCTTTAGAAAAATATCTTCCAACCTATGCCTAAAAATTTTTACCCGGTCTTTGTTGGGCTATTTCTGGCTTTTGTCTAATTTTTAAAGGCTTTTGCTTCTAAAATAACTTACTATTATAATAATGTATCATATACATATAGTATAGGTAAGCAGTTTCAAATGAAATTAAGGTACAGCATGTTAGTAGTGATTTGGATTTATAAAGTACCCTTATCCTATAATTATCAGATAATCTCCAGTTCTCTTTTACCACTCAGGAGCAAATATCTTTTAATATCTAGAATTATAAAATGAAAAGGTTTAGTCACTGCATCTTGAATTTTTTCCATCCGATTAATTTTTATACTTCCAGAAAAGACTCACTCAATTTCCACCGGTGTGAACCAGTTTTTCAGCTGGGAAAAATTCCTGCTTTTGAATGGCAGAAAGTCACAGCCCCACAAGAGCTCATATTCCCTTTTAGTGAAAGCACTGAAGGACCAATGGCTTGCCAGGGTAAGGCCAGTCTGCAGCAGCATGGGACACATGGGGCCCAGGACTGACTCAGCCACCACCATGCCTCATCTTCACTCCTGGATGCTCAGGTACCACAGGGGTTACACTGGAGCAGTTGTTCTCAAAGTGTGGACTGGGAATGCTGGGGCACTTATCTCCTTTGGAAGAGCCCACAAGATCAAAAACATCATTGATCTCACAAACGCTATTATTATTATTATTATTATTATTAAAGATACAGTTCAGTCTTTAAAAGTATTGTTTGCCTTTCACATCTCATCCTGTTAGTGCACAGTGGAATTTTCCAGTGTCTACACATCCTATGATGTCACAACAGATCGAAGACAGAAGTAGACAGGAAAATCCAACTGTCTTCCACTAAGCCAGATATTAACATGATGTGCGAAACAGGGTCACTCTAGTCATTAAATTTTTTTTTCTGTTTTAGAAAATATGATTACTTTTCATAAAGAAAAATTATTACTCAGGTTGACATACAGTAAGCTTCTTTGCTTTCTGTATCCTTTTTTGTTGTTGTTTTGAATTCTTTTATTATTAGCATACATTAATTGTACAAAGGGATTTCATTGTGATATTTTAAACATGCAAGTTATGTGCTTAGGTTATATTCACCCCCTCTCTTGCTCTTTCTTATCCGCTTCCCTCTCTTTTTGTTTTTTACAATTTTGGTAGGTTTAATTATTCTATTTTCATACATGCATGTAATGTACATCCATCATTCATATTTAGCAAATTACTAAGTAAACCTTTAAATATTTTCCCATTTTAATTTCTACTATAGAAGCAATCAGCAGATATAACCAACATAAACAACAGTTCTTTGGGGTCTTCAAACACTTTTAAGAATGGAAAGAAGTCATGAGAACAAAAGGTCTGAAACCAACAGAATAGCAGATCTGTGAGAAGTCTTTGGACTGTAAAACTCTATCGTCCTGAGGTTGAGAGCCAATAGAAGTGAACTCCAGTGAGGGATGTGAATGCCTGACCAGGAAAGTCCATGGGACCCCTGACACTTGCATTCAAGACCACCCTATGGTGGGCAGGCAGCTGGTCCTTCCTTGTTTGGGCAGTTAAGATTTTCCTACCTCTTAAGCCCTTCCTTTGCCACATCCCCTGCTTTCTGACATCCTTGTGTGCATCCCAATTCCTGTGCCGAATACAGAAAAGCTCAGGGCAAAAAAAGAGGCACTCCAAGCTTGGGAAAGACCCTGTTTCCTTCCCTCTCCCCACCGTGGCCCTACTCTACAAAGATACATGTATTGGTATCATGACTTCTTTATCCCAGATGTCACTGTACTGGCCTTGCCCAGTAGGACAAGGACAGCTTAGTCCTCTGTCAGGCCCCAGCACAGACTCTCTGCAGAGAACCTGAAGTAAGTTTAGCCCCTCAGAAATTTTTACAGGTGCCTGTGAGATTGCCATCATCCACAATTTGATTGGTCAATGCCAGTGTAAGTCCTGCCCAACTGGAGACAAGAGTGCTTTTCCACAAGTAGGAGACTTCATTTTGTAATTGACAGAATATCCAGAACCTAGCCTCCCTAGTACCATGTGGTAGTCCTTGGAGGACAAAACCACCAAAGTCAAGGAGCTGGTGTTGCTGCCCATGGCCCAGCAACCCTACACCAGCATTGGGTTTCCCAATCCTTGAAAGCAGGACATTCATTTGTGCAATTCAAGGCCATGGGGTTGCCTGGAGAGCAGGTGTAAGCCTCCTATCGCTGTCATTGTTTTACCTGCATGTAACTGGCTACAGGGAAGACTAGCCTCTCTGGTCAGCCCCATGCCTGGGCCAGCACTGTGCTCTGGTTGCTTGGAGGGACCAAAGCATTTCTGAGCCTCCTTCCAGGTTGAGCACTTCACAGTTTTCAAAGCACTTATCTAATTTGATCTCATTTTATCCTCACCACAACTCGGATGGGTTCTCACCAACCCTAATGAAGAAAGCAGAGAACTATATTTGTGTTATAATTATCATCTTGCCCAAAATGGGAGTCCTCTTTTGGGAGAAAAACTGTTCTTATCACCACTTTTAGCTAGCTCAGTTTTCTTTGTGAAGCCAGACCACGGTGTCTGCTGTGATTCGCTCAAACCCACTCTAAATTCAAGCACAGACATAAATAGTGAGCTGATTTGGATAGAAGGCATGATCCATGCCTGCTGTGTGCCCAAGACTACAGATAGGGAAAGGGTAAGTAGCTGGACACTCAGATCATCTTACCATTTTCACCCGATGTCTTGTCTTTTCCGTTGGTTGCCTCAGCACCTTGTCTCTAAAAAGGGGGGGAAAGAAAAGAAATTGTCAGATGTACTTAGGATTATTTTTGTCTCTTTTACTGATTCAAATATCTCTCACGTTATATGGAATCCTGTTACTTTAACTGAGATGGTTGTAGTCATGAACTAGGAAAAGATCAATCCCAGAAGTGTGGGCTGAAGGTGCAGCCTGCCTCCCTTGTCCATGTCCCCTGCTCACTGACCACAGATCACAAGTCACAGAGAAGCCAGACAAGGGGCTGGTATTGATTGAGCCTAACTTCATCAAAAATACGATGGAGACAGCCAAGGCTTTGTGCCAACTGTAAGGAGGTCAGAAACTTGCCTTTGTCCCGGATCACACTGCTGTATTTTCATAACACAAGGTCTTCTTGGTAACTACATTTAGTCAACTAAACAGACCTTATGCTGGTAGGCAACTCATGTGGCTGAGTCATTTCTTCTGTGATTTGTTATGCCTGTCCTCTGCGTTTTCATTTTAACAGAATTATAAAGAATTTTAAGGTTGGATTTGAGTCTAGGATAGGTACTCTGGAAGTTGGATGCTCCGGATGTCTGGGAGTTTGTATGAAATGAATCACACATGTAACAAGGCACATTTCCTCAAAGCTTAACTTGATCTTCCTAACTGTTCTAGTCCATGAAGGGAGGTATGTTTTACCAATCCAAATTTTTGGTCAGTTTTGGAAAGTATACTTGGACTTGAAAAACATTGAAGTGATTAGAAAATCTCTAACTTTCAAGAGAAGGAAACCAAGCAGGTGGGGAGCACCATTTGTCCAAGGTCACAGAGCTGATGTGGCAGGAGCCTGGGCTCCTTGCCCAGAGGAATTGTCATTGGGACAGAACTACAAAAAAAAGGGCCCTCGACAGAGAGATAGTCCCCAAACAAGGAGACTATCAGCGACCTTCATGAAGGGATAAGCATTGCCTCAAAATTTAGACTTCAGTCCAGAGCTACAGCGTAAAAATGATCTCAGAACAGTAATGATCAGAGCCCCTTGCTATTCAACAGGGTGATGAAAAATTCCCGGTTCTTTGGTTAAAGGTGATTTATGGTGCGTGGAGCGTCAGATGAGTGTTCATAGAGTAAATGATAAAGGTATGCGTCCATAAAGTTCACCATCCCATGGATGCTTCCAGCCACGTGCACACAAGAGGCTGGCCAAGCAAGTACATGCCCAAATATCACCAACACTGCTCACCCTGCTTCCTGGTCATTGTGGATGCAAACTCCAGCCAGGTTGGGGCGCTCTGTGCCATTCTGCAAGGCAAGAACCTCTCACTGGCAAGATGGGGAGCAAAGATGACTTGTTGCAAAACTCACAGAAATGCTGGCGCCTTCTTTGTATTTAACTAGGAGTGCCTTTAGTTTCCTGCGCACTAGACCTGCCCATGTTCACACAGAGGTAGGATATCACGGTCCTCAGCCACTCATCAACAGTCCCTGCCATGGCAACCCTCCATATCCTAAAGGAACTTGTAATATACATTGTTTTCATTAACATGATTCTTGCATATCGCAGAATCTTGATAACATGATTCTTGCATATCGTAGATTCACATGTCCCTTTCTACCTGTCGGTCCTTATTCTATGTCTCCTGTGTTCTTCTGTCACACAGAGCTGGTAAGTTCATGACACTCGATGGAAATCTGACTACCACTGAGCTGAGCCAAATTAATGACACAGAAGCTTCAAGGTGGCAAACGACTCTGCTATCTAAACCCTTCCCTGCATAATTCATAGATGGCAAAGGAAAATAGAGAAAATTCTGCAGGATAAAAGGAGGGTGTTTTAGAGTAGAATAAAGTCAAATTAAATGGAACACAAGTACAAAATAGGTATGGGCTCAGCCACTCTTTTTTTGGTGTCTTAAACATGAATGCCTTTCAAATGCCCTGAATGCTACCTCACTCCATAAAAGAGTACTTTTTAGAAACCAGAGGAAGACCGAAATGAAATGTGCACAGGGAGAAAAGGACTCATTCTTTCTGACTTCTAAGACAGGGTTTTTGTGTCAGGTCTTATTTGATGGAAGTAAAATGAAGCTGGTAGATGTCAAAGGAGATAGTGTTTTGGATCAGAAAATGGTCCTGACAAAAAAGAACTAGTCACTGAAAGCATTTCATTTCAGAATTCTTAAAGACTTGGGAACATTTTTGTGGGAAGGGAGGAGACAGTGGGGAGCGGTACCTGAGAGCTGCATTATGCCTAGAGTCTAGTCCTCACACACCATGAGGTGACAGATTTTCCTGAACTAGGCTGGGTGTTGGGATGATCACAGATCAGGTCCACTGCTGAGGCCAGGCCCTGAGGCTCTCCAGCACCACTGGCTTAAGTGAATTAGCTCAGCACTCCAAATGAGGTAGGTGCACTCGTTATCCTTATCAGCATCACGTTACCAGTTGTGCCCCAAGGCACAGAGAAGAACTTGCTCATGGACACAAGCTGCGAAGTGGCAGAGCCAGAAGTCAAACCCAAAGACCAGGCCCCCAGTTCTTCCTTTTGGCCACTGTGCTGGAGCATCTCTCACCATTGTGTACCACATCCCTCCTGAGGGCCTCACCAGCAGGAGGGAAGTAATGAGGAGGGGAGACTCAAGCTTGTCTGTTAAGATGACTTTATCAGCACCTCCAGGCTGGGAGTTAGCAGGACAGTGACTTATGGGGAAAAGTAGTCAAACCAGTCATTAAGAGGTCCGTTGTAGAAAATGTTGTGACTTTTGTTGCTTAAGTTTAAAAAACACAAGCAGTAGAGCTGGGTTATGCTGAAGTAAATGGATGGATAGGTTAGTGGATAAGTGGGTGGATGATGGAAAGATGGATGGATGGATGAAGAAAGGGAGGGTGGGATAGATGGAGAAATGGGTGAGTGGGTGGGTGGGTGAGTAGAGAGATGGATAGGTGAGTGGGTGGATGGGTAGATGAATGGTTGTATGAATGAATGAATGGGTGGTTGGATGGATGGATGGATGGATACAGATCATTCTCTAAAAGACCATGAGGGAAAAGGCTCTTTTTTCATGAGATAATAGACATTCAGGCCCTGTACAAAGAGACTGCCTTTTCTCTGTACCTCACTCTCATCCCCAAGGGAGTAAACATCTGGCTTCTCCCTCAACCCTCCACCCCCCAAACCATGACCTCATCATCCAAAACTCTATCCTCTCCACTAGTTGCACCTCAAAAATATCATCTATCATAACTGAACTAATAAGTAAAGTCAAGTGCAAAATGGCAAGGACACAATAAACTGACTTTAGAGCAACACTGATATGATATTCCAGAATTGTGAGCACTTTCCTAGAAAATCAAAAATGATTCAGTGCTGTCCTGAATATCGCCACCATGTTGTTCAGTTCACATATCATATAATTTAATGTTAGAATATGCAAAAAGCATATTCCCTAGGTAGATACATGGCCACAATTATCATGTCAATGAAGATATGAAAATTGTGCTGTCAGAATTGTGTAGAAAACCAAGCACTGGTATGTGTGAAGGTTTTAGAATGTACTCTTTGATAGCTTTTTGTCAGCAGAAATCTGCTTTGATATTTTCAGAGGATCTAGAGAATGAGTCAGTTGTCATGACCACTAAGAACAGCAGAGGCAGATAGATAGATAGATAGATAGATAGATAGATAGATAGATAGATAGACAGGTAGATAGATAGATTAGATGGATGGATGGATGGAAGGATGGATGGATAGATAGATAGATAGATGATAGATAGATAGATAGATAGATAGATAGATAGATAGA